CGTCGTTATATGTATGTTGGTGACGTCGCCATTTTGACGTTAGATGACGTCACCATAGTGATACGTTAGGTGACGTCAACTTATTGACTTTAGTCGACGTCGCCATTTAGTCGACGTTGTTATATGTACGTTAGTTGACGTCGCCATTTTGACGTTGGTTGAAGGTGCTATTTATGCGGTAAGTGATATCACCATTTTGACGTTAGTCGACGTCGTTATAGGTATGTTAGTTAACGTCGCAATATTGACGTTAATCGAAGCCATTTTGACGCAGGTCGACGTCGAACATTAGTTGACATCGCTATATTGACGTTAGTTGACGTCACCATATTGACGTTAGTGGACGTCGTCATATTGACGTTAGTGGACGTCGCCGTTTTGACGTTAGTCGACGTTGCTATATGTACGTTAAACGACGTCACCATTTTAACGTTAGTTTAAGGTCGCCATTTATACGGTAGGTGACGTCGCCATTTTGACGTTAGTCGATGTCGCTATATTGACGTCGCCATTGTGACGTTAGTCGACGTCGATATATGTACGTTAGTTGACGTCTCCATTTTCACGAAAAATGACGTCGCCGTTTTGTAGTTAGTCGACGTTGTTATATGTACGTTACTTGACGTCGTTATATGTATGTTAGGTGACGTCGCCATTTTGACGTTAGTCGTACGTTATGTGACGTCATCATATTGACTTTAGTCACGTTGCCATTTTGACTTTAGTCGACGTTGCCATTTTGACGTTAGTCGATGTCGTTATATGTACGTAAGTTGACGTCGCCATTTTGACGTTGGTTGAAGGTCGCCATTTATGCGGAAAGTGACGTCACCATTTTGACGTTAGTCGACGTCGCCATACTGACGTTAATCGACGTCGCCATTTTGACGCAGGTCGACGTCGAACGTAAGTGACGTCACTATTGTATCGTTAGATGACGTCACCATATTGACGTTTTGGAAGGTCGCCATTTATGCGTAGTGACATCACCATTTTGACGTTAGTCGACGTCGTTATAGGTACATTTGTTAACGTCGCCATATTGACGTTAATCGACGTCGCCATTTTGACGCAGGTCGACGTCGAACATTAGTTGACATCGCTATATTGACGTTAGTTGACGTCGTCATATTGACGTTAGTCGACGGCGCCTTTTTGACGTTAGTCGACGTTGCTATATGTACGTTAAGCGACGTCACCATTTCAACGTTAGTTAAAGGTCGCCATTTATACGGTAGGTGACGTCGCCATTTTGAACATAGTCGACGTTGTTATATGTACCTTACTTGGCGTCGTTATATGTATGTTGGTGACGTCGCCATTTTGACGTTAGATGACGTCACCATAGTGATACGTTAGGTGACGTCAACTTATTGACTTTAGTCGACGTCGCCATTTAGTCGACGTTGTTATATGTACGTTAGTTGACGTCGCCATTTTGACGTTGGTTGAAGGTGCTATTTATGCGGTAAGTGATATCACCATTTTGACGTTAGTCGACGTCGTTATAGGTATGTTAGTTAACGTCGCAATATTGACGTTAATCGAAGCCATTTTGACGCAGGTCGACGTCGAACATTAGTTGACATCGCTATATTGACGTTAGTTGACGTCACCATATTGACGTTAGTGGACGTCGTCATATTGACGTTAGTGGACGTCGCCGTTTTGACGTTAGTCGACGTTGCTATATGTACGTTAAACGACGTCACCATTTTAACGTTAGTTTAAGGTCGCCATTTATACGGTAGGTGACGTCGCCATTTTGACGTTAGTCGATGTCGCTATATTGACGTCGCCATTGTGACGTTAGTCGACGTCGATATATGTACGTTAGTTGACGTCTCCATTTTCACGAAAAATGACGTCGCCGTTTTGTAGTTAGTCGACGTTGTTATATGTACGTTACTTGACGTCGTTATATGTATGTTAGGTGACGTCGCCATTTTGACGTTAGTCGTACGTTATGTGACGTCATCATATTGACTTTAGTCACGTTGCCATTTTGACTTTAGTCGACGTTGCCATTTTGACGTTAGTCGATGTCGTTATATGTACGTAAGTTGACGTCGCCATTTTGACGTTGGTTGAAGGTCGCCATTTATGCGGAAAGTGACGTCACCATTTTGACGTTAGTCGACGTCGCCATACTGACGTTAATCGACGTCGCCATTTTGACGCAGGTCGACGTCGAACGTAAGTGACGTCACTATTGTATCGTTAGATGACGTCACCATATTGACGTTTTGGAAGGTCGCCATTTATGCGTGTGACATCACCATTTTGACGTTAGTCGACGTCGTTATAGGTACATTTGTTAACGTCGCCATATTGACGTTAATCGACGTCGCCATTTTGACGCAGGTCGTCGTCGAACATTAGTTGACATCGCTATATTGACGTTAGTTGACGTCGTCATTTTGACGTTAGTCGACGTAGCTTCATATACGTTAGTTAACGTTGTCATATTCTACATACTTCAACGTTTATTAAATTAAGTTGACTTCGCCTGTTGACGTTGACGTTAGTTGACGTAGCCATTGTGACATAGTCGGCGTCGCCATTGTGATATAAGTCTATGTCGCCAATTTGATCTTAGTCGACTTCGCCATTGTGACATAAATTGATGTCGCCATTTTGACGTTAGGTGACGTCGCCATTTTGACTCTAGTTGACGTCGCCATTTCGACGTTGCTATATCAACGTAAGGTAAGTCGACGTCGCCTTATTGACGTTAGTCGACGTCATATTGACGTTAGTCGACGTCATATTGACGTTAGTCGACGTCGTTATTTTGACGTAAGTCGCCAAATTGACGTTTTCAGACGTTTGCGATATATCTTATATCTAACGTTAATATATTGAAGATTACTATCTTTAAAATGGCGACGTCATACGTACATACGCCATATTGACGCGCGTCGACGTCGCCATATTGACGTTAGGTGACTTTGCAAATTAGACATCACGATTTTGACGTAAGTCGACGTCGCCATTTTGACGTAGGTTAACGGCGTACGTTATTTGACGTCGCTATTTTGACTTAGTCGACGTCGCTTTATGTACGCTATAGTGACGTATTACTTTGACCAAATTACCTTGTGACCTTTTTACTGTGACCAAATTACCTAGTGACCTTTTTATTGTGACCAAATTTCTAGTGACCGAATACCCTGTGACCTAATTACCGCCCCCTAAACAGACATTTAGTAGATATAATACACAAATAGAATAATATTCAGCACGTGTTCGGTTCGATGACACCAAATTCCATTTCCAAGTCTTGCGATAACACAATGTCACAATTCAATTATTATCAGAAATATTTAAATAATATACCTGAAGAATTAAACAAACAACTCTAAACTATAATAAAGCTTCCGAACATAAGTACGTCTTTATTTCTGCAAATGGCGGAGGGAAATTACTAGGGAGCGGTTAATAAACATAAACATTTAGGGAGAGGCTTATTGTAACACTTTTACTTGTAAAATGACTGATGATTTTATTCAAACTAGATACTTTTAT